TGTCATGTCAATAACTTCACCAGGAACCAGTAAGGGCTCTCCATCTTGATCATCTTTAGCACTTTTCTCAAAGGAAGGATAGGACTCATCAAAGCTAACATGAACACTTTCCTCAACACATTGAGTCCGCTTGTTGTATATCTTGTAAGCTTTGCTTTGAGAAGAATACCTCAGAAAGATTCCTTCATCACTCTTAGCATCAAATTTACCAAGCTGATCCTTTCCATTGTTGAGAACATAGCATTCGCACCCAAATGTTCTTAGGTGAGTCAGCTTGGGTTTCCTTCCACTCAGCAACTCATAGGGGGTTTTGTTCAGGAGAGATCTGATCATGCACCTGTTCACCAAGTACCAGGCAGTGTTGACAGCTTCAGCCTAGAAGTACTTTGCAATCCCACTGTCAGTCAGCATTGTTCTTGCCATTTCTTCAAGAGTTCTATTCTTCCTTTCCACTACTCCATTTTGTTAGGGAGTTCTTGGAGCTGAGAAGTTGTGAGTAATGCCATTTTCATTGCAGAACTCATCAAATTTGGCATTGTCAAATTCTGTTCCATGATCTGATCTATTACATGCGACTCTAGACTCCATCTTCACCTGGATTTTCTTCACAAAAGCCACAAACACCTCAAAGGTTTCATCCTTAGTTCTAAGAAATAGAGTCCATGTAAATCTGGAGTAGTCATCCACTATCACAAAAAATGTATCTTTTTCCTCCCATACTTTGCACTCTCATAGGGCCCCATAAATCTATATGCAGAAGATCGAGTGGCTTTGAGGTGCTTACGTCCTTTTTAGACTTAAAAGAGGACTTCATATGCTTTCCTCTAGCACATGCATCACATAATTTCTATACTTTGAACGTTTACAAGGGCAGACCATGGACCAGGTCCTTCTGAATTAGTTTGTTCAGAAGAGAGAAGCTTGCGTGCCCCAATCTTCTGTGCCAGAGTTCAGCATCATCATCAACAACTTTCAGAAAACTAAGATCACCACTTTGTATAGATTCGAAATCAGCAACATAGATGTTCTTGTATCTATTGGCCACAAGTACCACTTCACCACTTACCAGATTAGTAACTGTACATATCTTGGACAAGAACTCCACCTTGTTTCCTTTATCACAGATCCGAGAGACACTCTAGAGACTGTACTTAAGACCATTGACATAGTACACTCTCAATAGAGTGGGTGAGTGATTTCCCGACTTTTCCAACTCCAAGAATGTACCCTTTTTTCCCATTGCCAAAGGATACACTCTCTCCTTGCAGGGCTTTTAGTGAAAGAAAGTCCATGGTGTTTCCAGTCATGTGCTTTGAACATCCACTATCCATGAACTATTGTTGACTGCTTCCTTTCACTGTTCCCTGCACAATGTGGTCAAGAGTTAGTTTTAGGAACCCAAGAAAGTTTGGGTCCCTTGTAGTAGGCAAGAGGATGAATAAGAGCTCTCTTAGTCCATGCAGGTAATATGCGTTTTTTGTGGGTGGAACCTGGTCCCTTTTTAGTAGTTACATTTTTAGCAAACACTTTGTTTTTCTGAATGGACTGAACCCTGGCTTGGCAATTTTCCTTGAAATGCACAATTGTTCCAACAGTGGGTACACAGCCAATTATCTGGTACAGTAACATACTTGCTATGGGGATTGTAAGGAGTTTTCTCCCTTTGGAACCCTATTCTCTGCCTGTTTCCACCATTATTAACGTACATGGTAGTGATAGCTTCTGAGGACCAGGTCCACTTTAGGGACTTTTCAAGATCATTTTACTCTTTCTAGTTCAGTCTGGAGATGCTTGTTTTTCTTAGATTCAACACACAGGCTAGTTCTCAAAGCCTTCAACTCGTTTTCAATCCTAATGTGTTCCTCACTGGCTACCTCTTTTCCTTTTCTAGAACTTCAAGGTTTTGAATCAGTCCCTAGTCCCTCTATTGTTTCCCTTCGGTCTGCAATCACTACTAAGAGATCATCTCTTTCTTTCTCAATCTCAGTCACTCTCTTCATTAAGGCTTCTCTTTTTTTTTCTGAAGTTTTCAATAGTTTCCTTATGGTCAACAACCACAACCACTAAGTCATCTCTTTCATGTTCTATGTTAGCAATTTTTTCGGCTAAAACAAATTTTTCTTTCTCCAGCTCACAAATTGTTTCCTTCAGATCAACTATACACACTACCAGATCATCTTTAGTTTGTTCAGCTTCTCCTAGCTCTAAGGTCAAGGCATCCTTATCCTCCACAAAACTATGATAGACATCAATCAGTACACTAGGTAAAGACATGAGTTTCTTAGGAGAGTAGGATTTCAGATTTCTCTGAACATCCCTGAAATTTACCTCACTGTTGTCATCGTCTTCATCATCATCTGATTGGGCCATCAAAGCAAATATTCAATCATATTCATTTTCCTCACTTTCAACTGCCATCATGGAGCTGTCACCTGCATCAGTTTCATCTTCAGACTCACTAGAGGAGTCTCCCCATGCTGCAAGAGCCTGTTTCACCACATTGTCAGCAGATCTCTTCCTCTTGAAGTCCTTGTCAGGAACTGGGTTCCTCTTGGCTGCTTTCTCAGGGTTTTACTTGGAGTACTCTTGCTTCAGGAGAGGACAATCTTTGATGAAGTGCCCAAGCTTTCCACACTTATGGCAGAGATCATAGTTCTTTGGTTTGCTGGAGTTGCCCCTTTTCAGTATTCCTCCATTTCTTCTGACCATCTTCTGAAATCTTTTGGTTAAGTAAGCCATTTCACTGTCCTCCTTACTCGAGTCATTGCTTTCAGCTTTGAGTATCAGGTTCTTTTCTTTCTTTGGTTCTCTTCTTTCACTGTCTATCTTCCTCTTCATCTCGTAGGTCTTCAGATTTCCAACCAGCTTGTCTATGGTCAGCTCTTGTAGGTCCTTTGCTTCAGTAATAGCATTCACCTTGCTTTCCCAATAACTGGCAGAATACTGAGAATTTTCCTCACTAGCTTGTTTCTGGGAATGATTTCACCAAGTGAGTGTAACTCATTTATGATAGAGGCGAGTCTTGTGTGCATATCTTGAATAGATTCATCGTCTTTCATCCTAAACAGTTCATACTCGGTGGTGAGCATATCAATCTTGGATTGCTTTACTTGAGTGGTTCCCTTATGTGCTGTTTGTAGAGCTTCCCATATCTCCTTTGCAGTTTCACAAGCAGAAATTCTATTGTATTCATCAGATCCTATTTCACGTACCAAAATTTTCTCGGCACGAAAATGTTTCTCCACGGCTTTCCTGTCTGTGTCAGTGTATTCTTTTCTGGTTTTTGGCATTGTCAATGGAAGGTCTCCAACTGCCTTTGTTGGGATGTAAGGCCCATCACATATAACATCCCACAACTCAAAATCTTCAGCCATGATAAAATAATGCATTCTTGTCTTCCACCACTCATAGTATTGACCATTGAACCTGGGTGGTCTGTACATAGATTGACCTTCTTCAAAGTTTGGTGGAGCAGCCATACAGATCCTTCATAGGTGTTCCTGATAGGAGGAACCTGCTCTGATACCAATTGTTAGTTTATATGAGTCCACCAAACTATAGAGTACCTGGTCCTCTTTGAGTTTCCACTAAGAATACAAATGAAATAGTAAGTAAATGAGACACAAAATTTTTACGTGAAAAAATCCCAACTCAAGGGGACAAAAAAATCGACCTACACTTGTAGGCTTTCAACTTCACTAACTTGTAAACAAACTATTACAAGCCACTTTGTAATGACTCTATTGCAAAGACTTCAACTCAACTAACTTGTGATACACTTACCACAAGCCACTTTGTCACTCACTAGTTACAAAGACTTTAACTTATGACTAACTCTAGTCACAACACAAACTCAGAAAGTTTATGATTTTACAAAGGGGTTCCTAAGCAACGCTTCTAGCTAAGCAATTTAGGAATTACACTAAGAACAATCACAAAGTTACAACTCAACTAAGGACAACAAAATACTAGATTTAGGAACTGGTCCGTAGTTGCGTTTAACTTTGTTCTTCAAGCTCTTGACAATTAAGTTTAGTGTTGCAGAAGACTTTAATGCTTGAAGTGAATTCTCATGTGTTCAAGTGATGTTTTTGTTGTAATACATTTGTTAATACACCTTTGATGACATCACTTGAATGATGTAGGCACTCGGTTGGTCAAAGGACAAGTGACTCCAAAACTGCTGCACTGTGTGCACTGTTTCTGTGGCAGTCACTTTTCAGCTGTGCACAGTTGACTTTCGCACTGCTGTTAGGAAAACACAAGGGATGAGGTGCCTGTCTTATTTTTCTATTCGCTACACTTGCAGCAGTTCACATTAGCTGGAATTCAGGCTGGAATCCATTCATTGGCAATGTGTACCGAGTGTGTCAGTTTCCCTATCTGGTTCTGGACAGTAAGTTTGTTAGATCTTCAAAACATAAGGCAACGACGTTGAAAACCCATCGATACTCTTGTGGAGCCAACTCATATGAACGTGCAGACGTGATACTTCTAATCAAATGATGACATGATCAGATCTAAATATTTGTATTAATGTTTATTTGCTTACAAAATATACTTCGAAAGTTATGCCTATATATCAATCGGAAGCATATATTTTTATATATTAGTTCCAGAACAAAGAGTGGGCTGCATAACGTATTTTGATATACAACTTGTAAGACTGCTTCATGGAAAATGGATCTATATAACATTTTAGAGAACATGATTAACAATACATCTTTCCTAATCTATTTCTCTAAAGCCTTCCATTGCACAATACAATAATTGTATGGACACAATTCCACCTGACTTTTGCATAACTCTTTGCTCAGAACTCAAATATGTTTTTCTTGGTTACATAGTGAAAATTCCTCACATGCTATTCACAGTTGTCCTGTTATTTTTTTTTTTCCTTTGAATTTTCTGTCTTTTATGCTTTCTTGTTATTCAGGCGTATGATTTTCTGAAAGAAAAATAAAACAGCTAAAACAAGAAGTGTATCTAAAGAAGTTGCAATGGCGTCCCTTGTTATTCCTTCTTCTGGAAACCATGATCAAATTGGCTTGGAGAAGGATCAAATTACTATGGTTATGGTTCCTTTTCCAGCTCATGGACACTTCAATCAATTCCTTCATCTCTCTCGCCTCGTTTCTTCATACCATATTCCAATTCATTATGTTGGTTTTAGTACAGAAATTAGCCGAGTTAAGGCTCGAATACATGGTTGGGATTTAGCCACTGCTATTAACTATATCCATTTCCAAGAATTCCCAACCCCATCTTCTTTTATGGCGCCGACTCCTTCTAATTGTTCAAATAATTCTTCTGAAACCATCTCGAAACTCATATCATCAGTACTGGATGCATCTTTAACATTGCGCGAGCCTGTGAGTGCATTTATAAAGAAGCTTTCCAGCACAAGTCGAAGAGTTGTTATCATTTATGATTCTATGATGGCTTCCACTGTTCAAGACGTAGTATCAATAAAAAATGCTGAAGCCTATTGTTTTCATGCTATTTCTGCCTTTGCCACTAGCTCTCTCTTATTGGATATCATCAAATACTATCTCCATCTTCCTTCATTCCTTGCGAAATTGGCCAAGAAACTTTTTCTCCCATCTGGTGTTCACATTCCAGATGGACTTCCAACTCTCAGAAGTACTTTCACACCTGAGTTTATTGAATTTATGCGATTACAACGTAGTTGTAACAAATTCAGCTCTGGGAACTTATATGATACTTGCAAAGTTCTCGAGGGTCCTTATCTTGAAATACTAGCAAAATTCAGTAGGTTGCTCGGAATTGGTAAACAATGGGCTGTTGGTCCTTTCAATCCGGTGACTATATCAGCGGGAAAGGACTCAAAAGTTCGTCACAAATGCTTAGAGTGGCTGGACAAGCAAGCCCAAAATTCAGTGATTCTTGTTTCTTTTGGAACAACAGGCTACTTATGTATGGAGCAAATCAAAGAACTTGCTATAGGATTGGAAAAAAGTCAGCAGAAGTTTATTTGGATAGTTAGAGATATATTATCAGGAGGAGAAGGGGAAGTCATAATCCCCGAAGGATATGAAGAGAGAGTAAAAGAAAGAGGAATTATCGTAAAAGATTGGGCACCCCAATTAGAAATCTTGGCACATTCATCAACTGGCGGATTTATGAGTCACTGTGGGTGGAATTCATGCATGGAAAGTATTACCATGGGAGTGCCTATAGCGACATGGCCTATGCGTTTTGACCAGCCCAGAAATGCTGTGTTTGTTACAAATGTGCTTAAAATTGGAGTCGTCGTGAAGCATTGGGATCGATGTGATGATATGATTGTTTCAAGTACAATAAAAAACGCTGTTGAGAATTTGATGGCTTCTACAGAAGGACATGAGATGAGAATGCGTGCCATGGAATTAGGTAAACAAGTCAAAGAATCAGTGAAAGATGGTGGAGATCATCAAATGGAGATGGATTCCTTCATTGCTCATGTCACTAGATATTAAGTTGCTTCATTGTCAAAAATGTAAAATTTATTTTTCTCCACGTAATTTTGACTTTTGGTGAAAGAAAAATGTTCATTCAGTTGTGTGCTAGCTGTTGAGTCTTTTATAAATTTGCATTGTTCAAAAATTCAACTTATAGGCATAAAACCGTATTATAATCTATAATTGTAGGCCTAATTAGTAATTTAAAACATTAACAGATAACTTGTTATAATCAGTTAAAATACAATTTATCCTCATTTACCCCGTTAGTAATATCCAACTTGAGATTGGATAGAGGTTCAGACATAGCTGCTAATTAAAGTGAGGTTTGGGCTTATACTAGCTAGGCTCAATTATTATCTATAAATCATGATTATCAGAAAAATTATTGCACATATCAGTAACTTTGCAATAAAGAACAGAGATGAAAGTTGAGTTCAACAGGTAATCTACATATAGTTACATCCCCCAGTTGTGATTTTAAACAGTTAGCATGCAAATATATAAACTCCTAGTATTTCGCAACTTCACATCACCATCAGTCGATCACAGTCCTACTTGTTGTGGGAGTTATCTCCTTTTTTTCTCCGGTTTAATTGCGGGAACATCCGCCTGAGCGAGCTCAAAATGGGCATTTCCGGGCAACCGAAGTCGAGCATACATACGACGATCTTCATGCGTGAATAGCCGGGAGGAAAGAAAGGGCGGTAGATGATAATGAGAAAGGGCGCCGCGTCTGGACGGGCGGAATGGATGAGCAAAAGGTGTCATGCCATGGAGTGGGGAATAGCCCTCGTCTCATGTAAGCGTAGGCTACAAGGTAATCCCTCTTTCGGGCTACATGTTTCAAAAGATGAATCCCGACAGCCCATTCGGAGAGTTAGTTGGCTCCCTCTTTGAGAGCCGGTTCGGTATCCAAATTTCACTTGTCAGACGTGTCCAATTACACGCTGGATAGGGCCACCAATGGAATAAAGCATTTTCTATTGAAAGGTTCACCATTTCTAAAATTCGAACTCAAAACCCTTCGTTTAGGGTAGAGAAATTCCAATTATCTCAGCATACCCCTTGGTGATGAAAGTTATTATATATATGATTTCAATGATTGAGTAATGTGCATATCATGATTTATGTTTTTACCACAAGGATGGTAATGTATGCGAGGCTCTCTTATTACTTGACAGGTGGACTCACGGTTCCCACTTGCTTATTTTATTAGATAAAACTAAAAAAGACAACTTAAAAGTTAATTATTTTCCTATTTAAGATGCTTAAATTGAGGAGCAAAATAAGTAGTAGTAGTAATAATAATAATAATAATAATAATAATAATAATAATAATAATAATAATAATAATAATAATAATAATAAGTTTGTATTTGCAATGATAAGCTTAAGGTTTATAGCAGGTTGCTTTTTTCTTTATCCCTTGGAATGGGATTATTAGTTTAGAGTCTATTTGACTTAGAAGTTTTATATATTTACATATAAATAATAATTAGTATATCATTAAGTATTATCATTCTCTAAAGTGCTGCTTTAGGAAGTTAGTGTACTCTTTTACATGGCGATGTGAATCAAGTAGTGGTTTTGAACATACAGCTAGCATTCATCAAAACAAAACGTAACTCTTTTTTTGGTAGTACAAACAAAACATATATGTTCAATCCAAAATCCCACCATAAGAGTCGTGATGGCACCAAGTTCCTAAGACTAAGTAAGTCTATCACATAATGAGATCAACAGAAATATAACAACTTAAGTATTAAATAAAAGCTGAAAAATGCCGTAACATAGCCAAAACGGGAATACAACAGTCAAAATCTCAAAACCCGACAATACTGAGTCATAAACTCTACATAGAATGCTCAAGATGTCTAAAAAAATATCATTGTTTGGGATACAATAAACCGTAGCAAATGAAATAAGATGGTGACTCTGAGGCCTGCGAGCAGAACATTAGGTATACTTTGAAGTCTCTAATGGCTCGGCACCACTCTCTAATGACCAGCATGCTCTGAGGTACCTGGATCTGCACAAAGAATATGCAGAAGTGTAGAATGAGTACACCACAGTCGGTACCCAGTAAGTATCAAGACTAATCTCGGTGGAGTAATGGCGAGGTTCAAGTCAAGATACTCACTAGTCAATTAACCTGTGAAAGATTTCAATATAAAACTAACAACGGAAAATATAACAGAATAAATATCAACTAAGAGTGGGACATGTGATAATATGACAACTCAACCAATAACTCATAAAAAACAAAGTGAAATCATTTAAGAAAAACAAGGATATGATCGAAACATCAACCCGTTCCAACACATGAATAACATCAAGGATCATCCCAAAATACCACATGAAATCATCAACAAGCGACCCTTATGTCTGTCGCGTGAGTTTTACAATGAAATATTTCTCTTATAAAGGTACACGCGCATAAGTGTCACGATCCAAAATTCAACTAGTCGTGATGGCACCTAACCTAACCCGCTAGGTAAGCCAATTAGCAACAATCCAATTCAAATGAGATTTAATGAGAAAATAAATGATGAAATAACTAGACTTTTATACAACTTTCCAATGACTGGTAGTACAAATCATGAGCTTCTAAGACTTAGAGTTTACAAAGCTGGTACGAAATAAATACATCATCTGTTCGAAATGTGCATGAACAGATTTATAAATCTAAAGCTACCAAGATCAAGAGGCAGCTACAACCGGAACGCAGGTTCATCATCAAAGCCAGCTTCCGCCATACACAACAATATCACTCCAAAATCTGCACGCAAGGTGCAGAAGTGTAGTATGAGTACAACCGGCCCCATGTACTCAATAAGTAACAAACCTAACCTTAGGTTGAAAGCAGTGACGATCTTAGACAATGGTCAGAGTCCAACACCACTAGCCAACAACAACTCATAACAATATAATAAAAGTAGCACAAGAAATAACTCAAAGATATGATGTTCAGCTCGTTCACAGTTACAGAAGATAGACACACGTTTCAAGTATAACAGTAAAACCCAAATCTTTATTCGAAATCACTAAAATATGAGTAAGTCAGAAATCTGTTATTTTTCTCAAAACTTTCAACAACAGATAAGATGTTTCAATCTTAGATAGCATGAGGGAAATACATCTCTATGCCTACATGTCAATGTCCATGTGAAGTCGTGAATTTCACAATGCCGTGTAGCATGAGGAAATGCATCTCTATATCTGTATGTCAAATATACATGTCCATGCAATGCATCACAGTGATGAACTCATGTACTCATACTCTCAGAGTACTCAATATCAATGTCTCGTGCTCCCACTCATCATGTTTAATCCCTCGGCACACTCAGTCACTCAACACTGTACAGTACCTGTTGCGGCATGCAGCCTGATCCCATCATGAATCAATAAAACCTGCTCTAACTGCTGGTATGTCAGACTCCAGAGGGCGGATCTTGCCCAAGAGCTAATATAAGCCATCTGGCCTACTGCGGCATGCAGCCCGATCCCATCAATAATATATATAGCCCATAGGGCCTGCTGCGGTGTGCAGCCCGATACATATAATAATAATATATATAAAGCCAATATGGCTTGCTTCGACGTGTAGCCCGATACATATAATAATAATATATATATAAAGCCAATATGGCCTACTGCGGCGTGCATCCCGATCCCATCATGAATCAAATAAACATGTTGTGACGTGCAGACCGATCATACCAATATCACTCACAATCCGGCCCTCACGCTCCAACTCAGCCGTCAATCTCTCTAGTATCTCGGGTTCCCAAATCTCATGCCAATCAATCCAAATATGATAATATAATATGACAACAATTGATAGCATAGACTGAGATATGATATGCAAATGAATGAATATAACTGAGTATGTAACTGCAATTTAAGCAATTAACTCAACAATAGAAATGACCTTAGTTGGTCCCAACAGAATAAACATATAGCCTAAATATGAATTCTAACATGGATCACAGCTCAATTACTCTAGCACGTAGAAATTTCATGGGTAAAGACAAGATTAGGTAACTACACAGTACCACAGAACTAACCGAGTCACGATTCACACGGTGCACGCCCACACACTGTCACGCCCCCTTTTTTCCTCATCGCGGAGAACGTTTGGGTTTCGACATTTCATGGGGAACAACTCTTTTCCTTTGGGGAATTGGGTTTTTGAAGAGTCGCCACCTAACGAATTATGGTGCGTTAGGACACCTTGAGCGATTAACTCATGGACTATTTTGCATTACCAGGGATTTAGGGTAAGGGCTCGAAATAACCTTGAGGGGAAGGTATTAGGCACCCCTCGCGGTCCACAACGGTGGGTCCCGACCGAGCTTATACTCATGTGAATTAGTCAAATAAATAGATAAACAGTTTTACCACGTACTTGCAAGTAAAGGCATGTTTTGACATTCAAGTAATGAAATAAGGAAAAGGGTTTGAACAGGTTGCACATATATAAAGAAAAAGTAAATTCATTTAAACAACAGGAGTTAAGAAAGGGGGTCCTAGGTTGGTTAGCCTACAGGATCACCCCACACAATGCCCGGTAATCACTCCCCAATGAGGGGCTACACGTGACATTAGCGCATAGTCATCATATCCTTACTACCCAATTCCCTCCCCTTGGTGATAGCCTAAAGCGTCCTAATAACCTTGAAAGATATCCTATGCGTGCACTACCCGTCCCTTCCTTGTGGCCCTGGAGGTATTTAGGACCTCTAATTTCGGGTAGTTCTAGACCATCCTAAGGTGTTTAAAGGAGAAAAGTCTAAGCGTCAATCAAAATAATTAGGATTGCACGTAAAGAAGGAACAATTAATGGCTCACATTTTTACCTCCACAAGCAGAACAGATAAATGCATGTCTCAAACAATTGTTTCAGGTATAAAACTTAGAACATGATATCTAGGTGAGCAGGAAGTATACAGCATGAGTTAGGACCAAGTGTCAGAGACCTATTAGCTTGCCTACTAATTTTAGACCTGTGAATG